GAGAGAGAGAGAGAGAGAGAGAGAGAGAGAGAGAGAGAGAGAGAGAGGGAGAGAAAGACAGAGACAGAGAGAGAAAGAGACATACCTTGATCAACCATGGCTTTAATGTCGTTTTGCTGTGGACCAACGAAGAGTTCGAACGACGGCTACTCCCCTTTTTCACCACTTTCGTCTCCCTCTTCACTGTTTGTGACAGCCCCCGCCGTCGGAATCCCGTTCTACTCTCCCTCCCGCTGCCAGTCGATCAGTGCTGACGTCACCACCACACACACAATCGATTCTCCCGTGGTGATGTATGAACACTCCCAGAACCCCCCCGGAGGAAGCGCTCGACCGATACATAGATGACACACACAGATTCGACTGTGGCCCGCTGATGTATGCACCCTCCCCGCACAGTGCGACTATGGATACAATGGATGACACACACATTCGATCACGCCCCGCTCACGTATGGACCCTCCCACAACGGTGCCGAACGACGCGCAAACCAATCGACGTGCAAACGGGCAGCGACAAACTGCCCGCACACTGCCCACCGATCCCCCACACAACGCACACTACCACGGACCGCGTCCGCGTACGCACAAACGCACACGAAACGCCCCGCACCGCACCGACAAACTGCTGTGACACTGCCCACCAATCCCCCACACAATGCACAATGCCACAGACCGCATCCGCGTATGCACAAACGCTGTCGAAATGCCCGGCGCCGCCGCATACCGCTCGCCGCGCTTCTCCTGAGCCCCGCCGAAGAAACGCCCGACGCCGTCCAGGACCGGTCCCCGCACTTCCCCCAAGCCCTGCACCCGGGAGCGCTGGCCCGCTTTCCCCGAGAAAGGCCTGCCAACGTTAACACCACCCCTTGGGCCGCCACCGATCGTCCCACACCCGGGAGCGCTGTCTCGCGTGGGCCCGTCACGCGAGACCCGCGTCTTCCTTTATAGTATTAGAGAAGACAAACATGAAGGGAAAACATATATATATTGTCACATCACTACAAACTAAAAGAGCGCACTTTGCGGAACAAAGAATAAAAGCAAAAAACGGGCACAGTGATAACATGCAA